ATAATGTTGCTTCTTTCTTTCTCTCTCTCTTTCTCTCTCTCTCTCTCTCTCTCTCTCTCTCTCTCCTCCCTTCCTTCCTTCCTTTCTTTTAACTTACAGAAGCTTTAAACTATCTCAGGCCTTTTGTTTGAAATAACAAGTCAGTATTTTTTTTTAAATATAGTGGTATCTCTAATTAAAAAGACATAGCTTTGAACATTTAAATAGAAACTCAACTCATTGCTGCTGAGTTGGTTCCAAGTCACTCATAGGTAGCCTCCATCAGGTTACTGTGGTTGAAAATCAGAGCAGGAGGAGAATGTTCCTATTTCTCCTGAGGAGCCATTGGTAGACTCGAACCACGGAAGACAGGCAGAGGGTGAGCAAAAATGAGGGATGCACTCAGTGAGACAGACTCACACGATAGTCAAATTAGTGGATTCAAATGGCCCGAAGATCTTTATGATGGCACAGGACCAGGTAATCCTTCTTCTGTTACATGTTGTTGTTAAGTGCCATTGCACTAAGTATGACTCCTAGCGACCTGATGAACAACAGATCTAAAGCCTGCCCTATCCTGGGCTATCCTCAGGATGACACACTTGAACGTTGATACACTTGAACTCATCGCTGCAGTCACAGTGTCAATCCACCTCATTATGGGTCTTCTTCCCTTTTGTTGTCCCTCCATATTTCCAAGCAGAATATCTCCTTCTAAGGAATAGCCTCTCCTAGCAACACGTCCAAAGTATGAGAGGCAAAGCTTCACCATCCTAGCCTCTAAGGAGCGCTCCGGCTGCACCTTTTCCAAGACATATTTACTCTTTTGGAAGTTTATGGAGTATTCAACACTCCTCTCCAACACCACAACTCAAAGGCATCAATTCTTCTGTCATCCTTATCGTTTAGCTGTGAGACGCATAGGAAGTTATTGAAGAGACCATGGCCTGAATCTGTTGTATAGAGGTTATTATGAACAGAGTGGACTCCAAAGTAACTAACAACATTAACATATGTATATATGATAAGCTGTTAACTTACTTTTCTTGATTGCTGTTATGTGCTGTCAAGTGATTATAATTCATGGTTGCCCTATGAACAATGGATCTGAACCCCGTCGTATCCTGTGCAATCTTTTAATCTCTGATATAATTGAACTGTTGTTACAATCTTGAAATATTCAAAGGCTGATAATGGGTTTTGTTGTTTGTGTTTTGTATCATCGAGTCAGAATCAACCCATAGCTGACCATCTGGTGGGTTTTCAGAGGCAGTTAATTGCACAGGAGGAGATTACCCATCTTCCTCCTGTGGAGTAGCTGGTGGATTTGAACCACACACCTTCAGTATTGTAGTGCAACTTCATGCCACTAGGCCACGAGAGTCCTTTTCAATACAAATAAACTCTAGAGGCATACAAGTGCATGTAGCTTAGATGTGAAATATTATGTTCATCATCTAAACAAGGTTGATAATCTCAGTAGAGATGTAATATATTAATTTAGCCAGAAAGGTGCTGTATTGTTGGTATGTGTACGTGTGAATAAATTAAAGACAGTGATGACTGAAAAGAACTTAGAATCAAATAATGAGGCAGACAAATGTGTACTTAGAAGAAGAAAGATTCATCAAACAGACTGTCTTCTAATTTTTCAGGGCACCTTTAGGGTCTCAATATAGCCTTTCAGCTTGCAGCAATTACTCAACCATGGCAAGATTAATTCTGAATTTTGTTTCCCCAGAAGGAAACCATTTTTATTCTGTTCTAATTGTAGCTCATTAATACAGATGATGAATTGTGTATGTTTCATTCTAATACAAAGAGCTCCATTTAAAGGAGTCTCAGATATAATTTAACTTTGGTCAGTATTCAATAGATAGTATTGCTGAACAACTGACATGGGTTGTTAATAATCAGGAGGCTTAGCTTTCTGCAAAGCCATTTAAAAATAATGCAGTCTAAATGTTTCCTAATACATAAATCAGCCAAGACCCTGGCAGTATAGTCGTTAAATGCTTGGCTGTTAACAGAATGATTTCAGGTTAAACTCACTAGCTGCTCCACAGGAGAAAGTTGTGCCATCTGTTCCCATAAAGATTAACCCACTGCTGTTGAACCAGTTCTGACACATAGTGGCCCCTCATTGGGTTTACAAGACTGTATATGTGAAAAAAGACAGTCTATCACCCCACAAAGCAGTTGGTAGATTCAAACTACCAACCTTTGGCTAGAAGCCTATATGTTATGCATTATGCTACCAGGGATCCTTCTCTCCTCAGAGATTACAGTCTCGGAATCCTATGGGGACAGTTCTATAATATCATATAAGGTCATTACAAGTTTGAGTTGACTTGATGGTTAATGGATAAACAGATCAATAACCAAAGGGAGTCTTCACAAAGTTGTTAAACTTTATACAATAAAAAACATTTCAAAGTTTTCAAATTTTTTAAAAAACATTGAAAAGATAAATAGTGCTAAATGTAGAGCAAGGATATCAGTTTAAAGACATGATGTACCTGATACGAGTCAAGATATTTTCAATAACTTTCTTATGTATCCGAAAGTTGGACAATGACTAAAGAAGATTGAAAGAGAACTGATGCCTTTGAAATGTGGTGTTGATGAAGAGTATTGAATATTCCACAGAATACTAAAAGAACAAATAGATCAGTCTCGGAAAAAGTTCAACCAAGGTGCACTTTAGAGTCAAGGATCGTGAAACTTTGCATCACATACTTTCAGCATGTTGTCAACGAGGGGCCAGTCATCATGGGTAGAGGGTCAGTAAAAGAGAGGAAGACCCTCAATGAGATGGATTGACATGGTGACAGGAACAATGGGCTTGAATATGTTGGAGATCATGAGAATAAGTAAGGACAGGGCAAGGTTCAGATTTATTTCAATGGGGTCTCTCTGAGTTGTCAACTTGAGGGCATCTAATAACAACAGCAACAAATGTACCTCAGGATCTTTTTATTGGCAAATGCTACAAATATACGCTGCAATGTAATTTGTAGCAAAAAAAAAGCTACAAATGTAGAACATCCACCCTGTACATTGCTTACAATTATATGTTTTATGAACACAATTTCATGACCATCTAATTCTTTGGCCTGTTACAAGAGAAGCCCTTGATTCTAATGCTCAATATTGGCTGGCTATTTGAATGCAAACCTGGGAATATATTACCTAGTGCGACTCTAGCTGCTGATGCATCATAGTTGATCCAAAAAGACACCCAAGACAAGATTGTTATCAGTGTGGAAGGCATGTAAGTTTGCAAAATGAAGTAACCAATGTTCCTCTTTAGACGAAAACTTAGTGACAGACGTGGATATGCCCCTGAATTGGGAAAAAAAAAAGAAGAGAGATAGAGAGAAAACAACAAACAAACACAAAGCATATTATCATGTGCTTGAAAGCACCTTCTTTCTTTAATAGCACCTCTACTTCATTCTGTGAGAAAGCATTCTTACCTGTCGTGAACTCCACTTTCTTGGACACCATCTTGTAGTCAACAATTGAAAACTGTGGAAGTTCAATTTTATTGACTCCTGTTACTGCTCCTTCTCCTCCATTCCAGTAAAACTCAATGTCATCGGTGGTATAACCATCTGTAACCAAGAAATACAACAGAGAGATTGGTTGTTCTAGACATTCATTTGAAGAGAATTTGGAAGATGATGGGAAAATCCCCAGCAAGTGTCAATAAGATGACTCTTACGGATAGAGTTGTGTCTTCCTAGAATTGGGTTGGAACCCTGACCTCTAGGTCTATAGAAGGGCTCTTACTACAAATCAAAATTGACTCAAAAGTACATGACAATTTACCTGCAGATGGAATTGCATTTAGGAATAAGGTTTTCTTTGTTATGTTATTGAGACCACTTCGATATAATTTGTCTTCTAAATTTAATCCCTTCTGAGTTATAAAAAGAGCAGATTATGCACACACATATAGATATACATGCATATATACACACATATACATATATAGATATGTGTACATATAAACCCACCTGCCCCCCCTACACACACATACAGAAAGAGAGAGTGCTGTGGTGACACAGCTCACAGGGGATTGCACTGTTACCCAAAGGTAGAAACTCTCTGAGGGTTAAAATCACAGAAAAAAACTGGATAAATTATGTATATTGAAACAGATGAGGGAAAGAACAGATTAGAAGTGATATATGATTGAGTATTGTGGTTAGCACAGGAATCCAGAATTAAGGTTGCATAGAGAAGTGTACTAGGGGTGGGGGGAAGGGACGTGGGAATTGTATACTAATGAAGGAATTTTTTTTCTCTCTTCGGAGGGGGAAGCGAGCTGGTGGGGAGGGGTGGGAAGGGAGAAAATTGCGGCAATGAATGAATGGAAATCCAAAACCTCTGTAAAAAAATATTATAAAAAAAATCATACACATTAGAACCTGAATTGAAAACAATGGAAGCTCAATTTTATTGAGCAATTATTTATTGCTCAATTTTAATTTTTTTAAGGTCAAGCTAATTTTTTCTCCTATTTTTGAGGGGTAACAATTTATTCATTCATTTATTGCTGTCAAATAAAAAATGATTAATAGCCTACCATCTATTGGCTTTCTCAGACTGCAAATAGCACAAGGGGAGATTGCCCATCTTTCTCTCAAGGAGCCAATGGTGGATTTGAACCACTGGAGAGGTGTGGTTTTGGGATAGCAGTGCAGTCTCCTATGAACTATGCCAGTAGAGCTCGAGGAGTAACAAAGTTGTCTTAATGTACTGTTTCAAATATTACTAACTTTTTAACAAGCTCTCATCTTGAGTTCTTTTTCTTGAACTGTTTGAAGTGTTTTACATTGGCTCAATTGCAGACAAAAACTCAATGCTATTTCTTTGTAAATATCATATTCAGGTGGTGGGAGTCTTTTTACCAAATGGACGTAGAGACCTTCTTTACCAATTAAACTTAACTAGACCGATCAATATCATGATGAATGGAGAAAAGATGGCCAGTGGTACATTAAAAATTAATAAACCATACTAGTGAACATTATTCTAAGAATGCAGTTTGATATTATAAAATCTAGTCATATTTTTATCACATTAATTATTTAAGGAGGAGTTAAGTATATAATTATTTACAGAATGCTGTAATGACATTTGACAAAGTTCAACATTTTTTCTGATTTTTTAAAAAGATCAAGAAATATGACTAGATTTTATTTCTTTAACATCATAAGATAGATCTCACCAAAATAAATAACCCACTTATTGTGGAAATACTACTTATAGCATTCATACAAAAAGCTAGGAACCAAATAAGAATGTCATGAAATAGTATTCAAAATGGATGACCCTGGGGGACATTATGCTGAGTGAATTATCTCAGTTACAAAAGGACAAATACTGCACAGTGCCACTGTTGTAAAACGGAACTGACAGAGGGGCTGGGTGGAGACTGAGAAAGATGGGATAAATTATGTATATTGCATTGAAACAGATGAGAGAGAGAACTGTTTAAAAAGTGTATGTTGTTGTTGTTGAGGTATTATTGTCATGACATGAGCACAGAATGAAGGTGGCATAGTGGAGTGGACTTGGGGGAAGGGATTGTATAACAATGAAAGGATTTTTCTTTTACTTTTCAAAGAGAAAAACTAACTGGAGAAGAGGAGTGGGCAGGGAGAAAAGTGCAACAATGATGGAATGGAAATCCAAAATCTCTGTAAATTTTCATCAAAATTATTATTAATAATAATAAGAAGAATGTCTACTCCTCCTGATATTAGTTAAAAGTGTTCTGAAAATACTAACAAATGAATGAGATAAGAGAGGAAAAATCAGTTATAAAATTGGGAAATTACTGATTAAAATATCAAGGATTGCATACTTTATATCCCTTCCCCCATGTTAATTAAGTATTATAAATAATATAAATTCATTTGAGTAAAAGGACATAAAATTAATATGTATAAATCAGTAGGCTTCATATGTTGTTATGTGCCATCAAGTGACCTGTGACTCTTAGTGACCTTATTTACAATAACTTTGAACCTTGCCCTATCCTGAGCCAGTCTCATTGACTCCATCATATATATGTAATATATATTTATGTAATGTATAATATGTATTATTTATATCTATAAACATGTATAATGACAGAAAAAGAAAATAATCTAGAACATGAAATAATCTAAGAACATGAAAGACATATTTGGACTGTTTCCATGTTCTTAAGATGGTGAGTAATGCTGCTATGAACACTGGTGTACAAGTCTCTGTTTTTGCCTCCATTCTCATTATTTTTTAAATTGGTTTGCTTACAAACTTTATATACCTTGTGTTTCACACTATTCTTCATTCACTTCATGTTTCATACAATCATTCTCATACATTCTATTTTATAAAATCAATCACCATTGGACCTTGCCAATCATTACTCTGTCTTTTCACCTGTATCCTTCTCCTCCTCTCCCTCCCTCCACCCATCACACTGTGCAGCCCTGTGGTTTCACCTGTAACTATCCTCACCTTTTCTCTCCTCCCCTTTAGATCCTGTACATTTTTTACTAGTTATTCTTCTATTTTTACAGTAATCCTGACTTAGTTTTGACTACTGATATTGAGCTTCTCCAATGATTCCTTCCACAGATGTAGTCAATGTGATTCCGATGTAGTCCATCAAATGAAGTCCATGTGTAAAAACATCTGTGGTTTTTTAAAAAAGGCATTTGCCAATGAACTGAACTTACAAAATTCAATCATTCTATTTCCAGCCTCATTTCTGACACCAAGTCCATATCTACTGACTACAATTCCTTCTTTGTTGTTTCCAATTTTTGCATTCCAGTCACCAATTATAATTCAGACTGCAAGATTTGGGAAAAAATGTTCATTTCCTTCTCTTTGGCTTTAGCTGTTGTTGTTGTCATGTGCTGTCAAGTCACCTATGACTCATGTTGTTGTTGTTGTTATGTGCTGTTGGGTTCTTTGTGATTCATAGCAGCCCTATGTACAACAGCTCTAAATCCTGCTTTATCTTGTGCCAACCTCACTGTCTCTGACACACCTACTGCCATTACCCCAATCACTGAATTGATCCATCTCATTGAGGGTCTTCCTCTCTTGTGCTGTCCCTCCACCCTCCCAAGCATGACGTGTCTCTCCAAGGACTGGTCCTTCCTTGCAATATGCCCAAAGTTTGTTAGATGAAGCTTCAGAATCTTTGCCTCCAAGGAGCAACCCAGTTTCACCCTCTCCAGGACAAACCTGTTTGTTCTCCTAGTAGTCCATGGTGTGTTTATCACTCTTCTCCAGCACCACAGCTCAAAAACTTAATAGCTCTGAATCCGGTTCTATCCTGAGTCAGTCTCACTGTCTCTGGTATACCTAACCCCATTAAGAGGCAGTGATTTAGTAAATTAATACCTAACTTGGGAGAGACTAGAGAGTATTATGCTAAGTGAACTAACCTTTAAGGACAAATATAGTGTAAGACTCTTATTGTAGAACATGAATGAGGATCCAAAGGGGGACGGAGGGAGCAAAGAGGTCAGGATGGGCAGGAGTGGGGTGGAGTGGGGATGTTAATCACAGGGTCACACAATTTGATGGGTGAAGAGTAGTATAGGAAAAGGAAACGGGAAAGATTTGGTGTGAAAAAAAAGGTATACAAACTTTGTAAGTAAACAAGTACATTGTTGTTACGTGCTGTTGAGTCACCTGTGACTCATAGCGACCCCTTTGTACAGCAGCTCTGAAGCCTGCCCTGTCCTGAGCCAGTTTCCCTGACTCCGACACCTAGTTACTGTATCAATCCATCTCATTCTGCTTACAGCTGTTCCTCCTCCTTTGTGTTTCTAAGTTTGAGAGCTCAGTCTCAGTTGCCATATCTGTTATTGTACTCTATGTGTGTCTCTATTGTTGATAGGATTTTTATACTGGTTTACTATCAAACCCCCTGTGTAGAATAAATCAGTAGAAAATAAAAATTTTATTTTAAAAAGAGAATATGAAAGACATATGTGAAGTAACCTCTCAAACACTTTTGAAAGGCACACACACAAATCTCTGAACAAATAATAAAAGTATAATGAATTTTTGAATAGGAAGACTCAAACATTATAATATACTTTACAACGTAATAAAATTATACAATACCAAGATGTTTTTACTTTAAGAAACAAAAGAATTCTAAAGTTCAAATGGAGAAAAATAATGATAAAGTCCAAGTAAACTCTGAAAACTAAGAGAAACCTTCACAGAACATATTAAATATGTCAATGATCACAATAGTCTAATTTCAATGTATGAATAGACAAACAAATCTAAGACAATTCAGAAGGATATTTTCCACTCACTCACAGCCATAGAATCTCTTCTGCTTCACAGCAACTCTATAGAACAGAGTTGAACTGCTCCGTGGGTTTCTAAGGCTGTATAGCTTAGCAAGCCAAGACTGTTACATCTTTTTGTCCTGAAATATTTGATCACTTCCAGTGATTGACTTGAGAGTCAGCAATCCAACAATGAACCCATTATACTACCATTCAAAATTATTGTCATTATGAGTCTTTCATGTTGAGTCTGGCCTGATTCACAATTGATCCTCTGCTGAGTTTCTGGGGCT